TATTTAAACTCAAAACAATGGTCAGTAGAGTGAGAAGAACTGAATAACTTGTTTGACTAGTGTGTTATGTTGAAATATATGAATTACAATACATTCACGTGAGAGAAAACATAAGCATGATGAAATATACATCGTAATTACACATATAACTTAAACTTTCAAAACGTGTTAATAGATTTTGATACATCCTTGTAAGTATTACAGTTAAATATATAAAAGAAAATGCCATATGAAAAATTAACTTACAAAATAATTTGCAAGTGTTAGAGAAATAAATGAACACGAAATTAAAAGCATAAAAAATGTTTAAGTGACCAGAACTTCAATACTTCAATAATAGAAAAACACACACACACACACAAAATAACTTTACAAAGACATTCTCATAATACAGCTAACTATCAGACAGACAGACTATTCAAAAATATAAACAAAACAGTGCTTTACCATTCTGATTCTCAATTTTCATTTTTAAATATTTTATCAAGTATTAATAGTGCAAAACCAGCCATTTTTTTTAGGTTCAAGTTTTATAGACACAAAAGTTCTGTATTATATTCTCTGCCAATTACAGCTGAACAATTAACTAAATTTACTGATATAATCAATTATTTATGAGCATCAATTAGATTGACTAGTCATGAAAATAACTTACTAATCAAAATAAGTTTTATAATTATTATTGTTACTCTTTTTGATTATTACAAGTAATTGAAATATTATAATCACGATTTCTCATTATTGTTATTGATTAATTAAAAGTTGTTCAGCTAGATTAGTGACATAACTCACAAAAATTATAATTTTGCTAAACTGAAAACGTATTTCCGATAGGTATTTCCCATTTAGTGCTGTGAACTTTTTTTATAATGCATGCCACAAGCCTTCAACACACCACTAAATATGTGGAAAGTTTCCCCAAGCAGTTGAGGATCTGAGAATACAAAGATCAGCCCCGCTGTCATGGATCTATCTAGACAGAGAACTGATTATGATTCATATTTACTTATATTCTAGGTTTGAAGTACGTTTCACAACAATGTGTAGGTTGCAGTTTAATATTACAGTAGGGGTTAAAATCATATTGAAAACTGATACTTAATATGTAGTTCAAATAATATCAATCTTACTGTTTTCTCACACCATTGACTTGCAAGGGAAATCTGACCATATATGGAACTAGAAGGGATAAGTTGATATTCGGTAGTTTAATACTTGTTGTTAATTGGCCTAGAGATCTTGACAGTTGAAAGCACTATCTGTATAATCATTTTCAGACTTGATTGTAAGGTTAAGTGTGGTAGGAGATAGAGGAAGATTGATAAAAAAAGAGAAGAATGAAAGTTCTAAATTTAACTAAATGTTTCAGTTGAAAGAATTGTATTTTACTACTTCAGTTACATTTGTAAAATTGTTTAGTTTATTTCTTTAGGTGTTAAAACTTTCATCATTGAAAGCTAAGTAAGGAATGAAAAGTTTAAACATTATATTGTATTAACCACTTCTTTTGTATTTCTGTATGACCTTAGTCATTTCATTTTTGGTGTCAAGTGTGTGTTTGAGTGACTGTCAGTTACAGTACTTAATAAATACATTATTATATTTATTTAACCATGTCTTTGTTAATTATAAAAACAAAATTATCATGATTAGCAGTTGTGCTTGGTAATTATTGGATTTAAATAATTGATTAATTATTGGGCACATTGATTGATTACATTCAACTAATTATCTATTTTTATGTGAAATTTGGATATTTACGAATAATTTAAAATAATAGTAATTTGACTCGCAAATTTTGGCTATACTTCAGACTTTGGTGTTGCTATGACACTAGGTAAGTCTTTATTAATGCTTTCTTTTCTTTCAGGGACCCTTACTTCAAATTTCGTCTCTTGGATCCCACTCTGTAACGAGTGGTGCCTGACCAGGTATTATTTACATACACAAACAAATCCAGACTGTATGCCATGCTCTTTCCATGGCTCTGCACATTCACCTTCAAGATGAGGTGTTTCACAAAATAACTGGATGGTCAATAACCTTGTGATATTTGCTTTATAAATACACCTGTCCAGGACTGAACCACCCACAGGCAGCATGGGTAAAGTGGATGGGGATAGCTGCCCAGCCCTCCCATACCTTGATTGAATAAATAGGTGTAGCCTGCTTTTCAAAATAGGGTTTCATGATCACCCTTTGCACCATCTCGGGTGTAACCATTCCACCAGACTCTC